TGGTCATGTTAAAACTTAACCCCACACACACAGGTATAAGGTAGGTAAAATTAATAGATTAAATCAGAACTAAACTAGAACTACATGGACCTATTAACAACTAGTTCATTTTATTTCATGTAACAACTAGGTTTGAACAATGACCAAAATGAACATACAGTAAACCTATGAGGTCTAAAGTATGAATATTATATTTTCTAACATATAACTAGTTAATGACTGAAACGTGTTGAACATAAAATTTAAAGGAACAAATCAGATATTCGACCAAAAACATAATAAAGCATGGATAGTGACTGGACTGTAAATGGAATGAACTTGCAATTCAAATTTAAAATAAAAACATTCATTCAGTGACCAAATCGTAAGGTTACAAAGCACGAGACCATCCATACGCGATTAATCAAGCGCTAAACGCAGGTTTATACTCGCTAAAACGACATCGTATGGATAGGGTATAAAAACCTAAAAATCAGTCAAAATAGTCATCATTTTTCATTTTGACATTCCCCTTTTTTTAGCTAAAAAGAGAAATATAAGTTCTCTCAAACTTTTCCTCTTCGCTCCTCTCCGAAAGAGGCACAAAGCCTCCAACCATCGTGAACCGACGCCCCGACAGCTATTTACGATGGTCGTCACTCGAATTGAACCCAAAAAAAGACCTACTCCCCCTCCTAAACCTAGATCTGAACCCTTTCAAGCCTAAAACTCATGAAATACCTATATCTAAGGATTTATCTTCGAAAAACACCCCTTCTGGCGATGTTGGACTTTTCGACGAGACTAGGGACGGTAAGCTTCTCTTCTCTCATTCGTTTTTCTCCTTTTATTTTTTGTTCTCTTGTGGCTGTAGTCGTTTTCTACATGATCTCCCCTCACATTTTTCTTCTATAAAATCATCTTTTATAATGAAAAGTCCTCTCTTTTTAATTTTTTCGTGTTGCATGTTATGGGCAAAAGGATCTTTAATTTTTATTTGTTTGTTTGCTTTTTTCGTCTTTGTTGTCTGATCGAGGAAGGTAATCTGGTGAGGAAAAAGCCCTGAACCAGGTGATTGTGATGCATGTAAAGAATGGGAGTAAAAAATCCTTTTGTTTTTTTTGTGGTGACGGGCGAAGATTTCGACGACGGGTAACGATAGCAGCTTCGGGATATGGGAAGTCACGGGTGCGTGCATCTCAAGTGGGTAGAGGGAAAGGCGCATGGCGGAAGTGGTTGTGTAAGGCTTTAGGGTGAAACCCTAGTTCTCATTGAATCTGGACTGTTGGATCAGATCTGATCGACAGATATGGCGGCGACAGTTGAGGGACATTAAGGTTTGGGAAACCTTAATCTAAAACTGTTCCAAACTGTTAGATCAAGTGTTAGATCTAACGGGTTGAGAGTTGGCGGCACAAGAGTAAAAGGGTGAAACCTAACCTTCTTTTCTTCACGTGTGGGCCACTGTTGGGCTTTCTTAGTTAAATGTAATTTACTTTGTGTCGAAAAAAATGATGATTGTAATGTGTACAGATAAAATATTAGACATATTTTTAGAAAAAATCTTTAAACATAAAAAATCAATTTAGAGTATAATTTAAAAAAATAAACATAAAAAATTAATTTAAATTAATTTAACATTTAAAAGCATATTCACACGGTATAAATAGATACTAAAAAAAATTACGATTTACGTAAGCATGAATTGCGTGCCTGATTACCTCATGTTTGCCTTTGAGGTTAATAAATAATAACCACGTTGTCAGTACTACAAGGTCTGATATTTTTAGAAAAAAGTATCTCATTTAATTTGAATAAATTAAATTATCTGAGTAAAAAAATTATTATTTTCAGATATTTATATTTAAATATCAGAGTATTTAAAATAGATATTATTAATTATAATTATAATTTTATATTTGATATTTTTTTAATTCTTTAAACATAATATAAAAAATATATGAAAATTCATAATTTATTTAAAATATAAAAATAATTTTTAAAATTATAATTTTGAGAAGTCCTCTGCAAATCATAAAATTTTAGTAAAACTCTTCCTTACGACTTAAAAACAATATAAATGTAAACAATATCATAAATTGTATTTTTTATTTAATAATAAAGGGTTTGATCTAATAAAAATTATTAGATCAAACCGTTAATAAAAATTAGATTGATTTAATATTAAGGATGATTCTTTGAAAAATTGAGATTTGAGACAAGTTTTATTTATATAAATAATGTATCCGTTCTCTTCGGATTTATTTCAATTTTAATTTTATAATATGTTAAATAATGACATAATGCATAAATAACTTTAAACGTTGACAGTAGTGTTAAACTTGCATGTACTGTTTTTTGAACATTTGATCACTGAACGTTACTTTGCGTCAAAAATTACCTTGATAGATGGAAATCGTCAGTCAACTAACGATCAACATTGCTGACATAGCAAACAAACATGAATGTGGAAGCTGATGTTGTATGTCCATGTCGAAGAACATAATGACGTAGTGCTGCCATGTCATAATTTTTAAAATAAAATAAATAATTTTATAATTAATATTATTTATATTTAATTATTTATAACCAATCAGAGATTGATACGTGTCACTAAACCAATCTCCTTAGTTGATTAAATAATGAACTAAATGATATTTAATACATTTCACTGCCCTATCACACAAAACCACTTTAAAAAACAGTGGCTCGTGTTGTGCCACGTCAGCTTAACCAAACAGAAGCCAATGGCAACCCAGCTTTTGATCCAACTCCTCCCCCCACTGTTTTTTTAACCCAAAAGTCTTCGCTTCACTTTTCTCTTTGCTATTCAAAGAAGACGAAGATATTTATGTGGTTATAGCGGCCGTAAATGAAAGTTGGATATCAGAAAACACTCAGGCGATTTTCAATTCTCTCAGAACTTTCCAGATATTTCTTCAATTTTATGTTTTTTTTATTGGATTAAGGATGAGGTTAATTGGATAATTACACCGCTAACATTTTTGATTTCTTCATTTTCACTTCACCGTACTCTGTTTTTCGCACTTTTACTGAGAAATAGGGTTTCCTTTTATGCTACTACTGAATAGGGTGTCTGAAAATGGTTGAAGTTGAAATTGAAGTCGACGTGGAGGTAGGATCGGCGGAAAGAAGAAGAGAATGACGTAAAAGATGGATCCATGGAGGTTTTTCGATTGGAACGATTCTTACCGCGAATGGTTCTTAGAGTGCTTTTAGTCAAAGCTGATGATTGCACTCGTCAGATTATCGCCGCTCTTCTTCATAAATGCAGTTACAGAGGTTTATTCTTTACCTTTTATTTCTTCATTTTGTTAAATCGGTTGTTATTTTTATCTAGATCTATCAATTAATTGTATTACTAGTTTGATTCTTTTACTTCTCTTTAATTACTAATTTTCAATTTTCACAGCTAAAGCAATCGAGTTGTTCACACGATCGAACTGGCATCAAATCTGGGTCCTCTAATGGGTAGAAGAAGAACCTCAAAGGCAACCCTTCAAATAGTAGAGGATGGAAGAAGACTAACCCTTCGTAGCCCTTGACGAACCACATTGATGAACTCTGAAGAATTTACTCGATTTTACACTTAATTTTCTTGCATACTCATTAACGATATTCTCTGCACTGGACAAGGAAAGAACGATCGTTTTTCACCTTTTCTTTTCTTGTTTAGGTTTCAAATCCTTAATTTGGATTTCAGATTTCAACAATTATGTTTGTCTTTCTTTTCATTCATTGCTCAATCTGTTTTGGAATGAGCACAGTTGGCACCCAATTGATTTTTTTAATAAATGGTTGTTAAGCTGATGGTGCACAACAAGAGCCGCTGTTTTTAAAAGTGATTTTGTGTGATGGAGGCGGTGAAATCTATTAAATATTATTTAGTCATTATATAACTAAATAAAGAGTTTGGTGCAAATGTTGTGTTATTCGTAGTCTTTACCGGTTCAATTCCCATCCCTTGCGTTTTCCCTGATATTAGTTTCTTTAAACAAAAACCAATGTCATAAATAATTAATATAAATAATATTAATCATAAAAATTTATTTTATTTTAAAATTTGACATAGTAGTTTCACGTCATTCTGATATCTAACTGGTTATGTCACATCACTTCCACGTCCATGTGTGTTGCTCCGTTAGTATCTGGCGTTGATCGTCAGTTGACTAATGGTTTCATCCATCAAAGATGATTTTGACTCAAAATTAAACGTTCAGTTGTCAAATGTTCTAAAAAAAACATTACGGACAAGTTTCACACTACTGTTAAACGTTAGGGTTATTTTATTACATTATGCTTTAAATAATTATTGAATATGTTCATTTGGTTGTATTTGTATGAAAGAAAATATTCATAAACTTCGCTTGTAGCAATCGACATCCAACAAGACAATACACAAATTTAAGGCTAATTTTTTCATCCAAGTAAGGCCTAAAGATCCTAAATTAGTCCAAGATCATACTCTATTCGGGTGAACGATTGTCTTACGAAACGTTTTCTCTCGAAATAGGCCTGTGATAAGGTGATCCTTTATCGACTTTTTTTTTTCTACTGTGCTCTTAGGATTTATTTCCTCCTACATGGTGAACAGCAGGCTAGTTGGCTCAGGGGTCTTCGAATTTGTCAAACAGCTCCTCGGGTAACCCATCTTCTACATGCAGACAAAGTCTACTATTCATCCGTAATTTGTCGTCGAATTTCATTGGGTCAAAAAGATACTTCAGATTTATGGAACTGCCTCAGGATAATTTGTCAACTTTGCCAAATCCAAGCTATGCTTTGGGGCTCACACCACAGCAAATACACGTGCTCACTTAGGCGTCATATTTAGGGTAACCACTATTGAAGATCGGGGAGTATACTTAAGAGCTCCTTTGGTAATTGGTCGAAACAAATCGACAACGTTTGGATTTCTTCGCGACAAATTCATCTCACAAGTTCGAGGCTGGACCAAGAATTTGTTGTCGTACGGAGGGCGGTCGGTGAATATCCAAGCGATGGACCAGAAAATACCAACATACATTATGGGTTATCTTCTTCCAGAGAGTATCGTTTCAGACATGGAGGTCGTTCTTCGTAATTATTGGTGGGCGGGTAGTCCAATGGATAGCGGATGGTCGATGGAACGGAGCACTGTATGTCAGGAGAAACGTCCGGGTGGTATTGGGTTATGGGATCTTTAATCTTGTTTTGTTGTGTAAACATGTTTAGCAATGTTTATCTTCCCCTCACAGTCTCCTGGCTAGTCTTTATGCGGCTAAATACTTCTCTCACAACAATATTTTTTATGCTCGATTGGGTAACCGATCTTTGGTTGCTTGCAAGGTATCTCTCAATATTGTCGACCTTTTGTGCAGGGTATTTTGGAGGGTGGGTGTCAATAGCCAGGTTCGAAGGCATTCAAATTCATGGGGTGTTCGGCTCCTATCAGCTTTCAATCAACATGTAGATAGTGCGTAGAACTAGTGAGGTAAATTCATGATTCCTGATGTTCCTCAATGGGATAATATGGAGGTGAAGGCGGTTTTTACTACCCCTAATGCAGAGACGATTCTAAACTGCCCCATCACCCCGGTTGCCAATGATGCTTTGTTATGGAGTGGACATTCCACCGGAGTATACTCAGTTCGGTCGGGTTATTTCTATCTAATGATGCAATCTCAGGATTCATGAAAATAAATGGTTACCGGCTGGTAGGTGGCTGCTTCTAGTCGAGCGTTACTGGCTTCATTTGATTGGGCCATGGGATTATCGGGACCTGACTGACTTTTTTCAGCTGCTCCATGGACAAATGGTGCAAACCAACTGCATCAATGATCAAAATAAATGTTGATTTGCTTGTGTGTCGATGATAGGTAAGTCGACGATCGACGTTTTTGCTCGTGATCTTCTTGGCATTGTGATTGCTTCACACGCTGTTCTATTCTCTGCCCTTGTAATGTTGGCATAGTGAAGGCAGCTGCGATAACCTTGGGGATTCAAATGGCCATTGACTGCCCATAGTTTAACCCGTTTGCTTTATCGCTTTCTTCAACTATGTACCGTGCTTATGACTCACTTGAATGTATTGCAGATATATTGCTTTCAGATTTCTTTCATGGCCAAGTTATTATTATTTTTTTGTTACAAAAGAAGATTGCAAAACAGAATTAACTAGGTACGCTAAGCTCCATGTCTTTGTCGAGGAGATTTTGGATCCCCATCGGAGGTTGCTCCAGCACAACAAGACCCAAATTCATTGATCGACCCATTTTAGTAATAGAGTCTGAAATGACATTTCCTTCTCGGTTGATATGTGAAATAATGGCTTCCCCTTGCAACTTAGCAGCTCCCGGATCCTGCGGACGGTGGTAATGTGTTGGGTTGAGGAGTAGAATTATGGATAAAGAACCGCTTCGTTGTCATCGGTCTCTACTACTACTTTCCTAGCTCCACTGTAGGTCGAGGCCATCTCTTATCGCCCAAAGCTCAGCATGCAGAGCAGAACACTGGCCAATATTGCGAACATATCCCAACTTCCAACTGCCAGCACTATCTCGAATAACACCTCCACTGACAGCCACCATAGTTCTCGGGATTAATCGAACCATCCGAGTTAATTTTCGACTCCATGGGGGGGAGGACTCCACTTCTGGCGTCGAGAGTACCTGCAAGAGATATTAGTAACCCGGTTTCTTAGAACTTTCGCCCACGAGATCACTGAACGGATAATTTCCGGCGAAGATCAAACTTGACCTTAAAAAAAAAACTATTTCTCTGCTTCCATAATCTCCAAATAATAATGCTAAACATGTCTCCAATAAAACAAGGAATTATCAAATTTAAAGGTATTAGTAAGATTCTGAGAAAGCCGAATATCCAAACTAGGAGAGAAAAAATAGCAGTAAAGGAGTTGGGAATAAGGGAGAGCCAAACCATTTTAGCAGAACTGCAATCGCGTAACACATGGAGGATCGTTTCTCTTCAGACCGACAAACAGGACATCGTTGGTCATTCATTAAACCCTCCGGTTACGCTCAACAGTGGTCATCAGTATACGATGCACAATCAACCAAAGGAAGTGTCTGATTCTTTGAGGACCATCGAAACTCCAGTCAGTGTTCCAGACTGAATTCCGGTCATCCCAGGAGTTTTTACAAAGCTCATTAAAGGCGGAGCTAACCGTGCAGATTCCGGTTTATTCCAACACCAGGTTGGGCGATCCTCAGGCGGAGCTAACGTGCAGATTCCGGTTATTCCAACACCAGGTGGGCGATCCTCCACCAGCCGTATCACAAGGCGTAGGGATTGAACTTATCCTCTGAATGGAGTTGTATCAGTCATCGCTCCATGCGTTGAAAGTCCCAACAACCATTGGTTTGAACAAAATCACGTACAATATCATGGGTATTGATGGAAAATTAGGCAAGATGGACTCGGATAAAGGCTTATTCTCGGGGTGCATGAGTCAAACCAAAAGCTGACTTTTCGCCCATCTCCAAGAGACCAGCAAATATTATTCCGAATGAAGCTCCAAACGTGACTAAGAGATTTCCAAACATAGGAAACACCTCGTATGATTGATATGAACCGGGACTTTCTTGCACTTTCTATTTTGAACGAAGAACTTGCACCCAAATCGTTTCCTGTCGCATTAAAAAGTTATAACCCAACTGATGAGAAAGGCATCGTTTGAGAATGGAGAGGACGTATCCCCAGGCGACCACAATTGTAAGATTCAGGGTTTTAAATAGCGTTCGCTATCAAGTTTCGGTCGCGTCGCGTTTATCACGGTTGCGGATAAACGTATGCTATTGTGGTCATTGCGGATATCGCGATCGTGAATTTTTTTCGAAGGAGCTGATTTTTTTAAATAAAAAAAACCTTTTTTTATAAAAAAATTAAAATAACGGAATAGCGGTCCGCTATTGCCACGATTGGCCGCGATCCATTAAATTACAGTCGCGATCCGCCGCTATTGGTGTGATCCCGCTTCACACCGTTATTTTTCGCGATAGCGGTTTCGGATACTGCCGCGACCGCGATATAATGGCTGTGATACCGCTATTCGGTCGCTATTTGAAACCCTGGTAAGGTTGACAATAATTTTTCCAGCTCACAAGGGCTATTTTGGAGTTATTATTGGAGCCTCCCCAGACAAAGCGGAGGGCGATTTGCTCAATTTTGTCACAGATACCGCAAGCGATCTCCAAAAGTTGCATAAAATAATTGGGAATAACTAAAAGAGTGGCTATAGCGAGTGTAATACGACCGACCATGAAGAGTTTGGAAGCCATCCACCCATTTAACTTACTGTTCACTTTATCAATAATGAACCATAAAGTATTCATTGTCACTCTTATATGAAAAAGAGGCATGCCCAAGTACTTATCAAGATCCTTAGTATGACATAAACCTGTTGAAATGAACTCGATTATGTGTTCCGATTCATATACGATGTTGTTCGATCGTGATTCTAGTAAGAACTTCGCAATGCTTTGATTGAAGACTGAAAATGCACAAACAATGTTACAAGAAAGAAATTGATATAAGTAAATTGAAAATGAAAGGTTGTAGGTTATGATAAAGTGGTTTGAAGGTGATGGAAGAGTGATGGTTGTTGTGGTTTAATGAAATGAAGGAAAGTAGAGAAAGTGTAGTGGTGATAATAATTTATAGTGTGGAAAGAATGGAAGTATGGTGAAGGTAAAAGATGTTATGGCGTGGGAGATGAATGATGAAATAAAAAGTATGGATTGTGACCCGCTAGCTATATGGAGCTAGAAACCAACAATATACAAAAATGGAATCGAAGAGATAGAGGGTGGGGCGTGGAAAGCCTTCAAAAGATGATAAATAAACCTTGAATATGTAAATTATGAAGGCTTGTATGCATTGTCACTCAAAGAATATGAACAACCCTTGGTTTGAATGATTAAATCAACCTTGAATTGGATGATTAAATAATCAGCCTTGAATGCTTTGAATTAGGTGAATAAAGATGACCTTAAATGGATTGTCTCTTGGTGGATTATGAAAGGACTCTTCCTTGTCTCAAACTCATCCAAATCATCATTGTATAAAATTTTCGTAATGAAAAATCCAGCCTGCAACGTCTTCAGGAAATCGATCATATCTCAAGCTCCTGATATCGGGTTGAGGTGATTCAAAAGGAATTGGAAAGCTAAGAGATAGAGGAATAATATCCAATTGAGTTTTGGACCCAAACCGTCTGTATCGAATCCAGAATTAGAAGACATTTTGACTTTTATTATTGCATCTGTTGAGGCTGTTCAACTTCCCTCTTGCACCTAGACACAAAGATGAACTTTATTCAATCTTTAATTGAAAACATGTATGAAAAAAATTAAGAGTTAGTTTAATAAATGAAATAGCTTGATGAGTGAACTAGTTTAATTAATGAACTAGATGCATGAATGATGTATCTTACTAAATGATCCAAAGGCATAAATGAACTACTTCCCTAAATGAACTAGACGCTTTAAATGTAATGCATGCTTAAATGAACTCATGCTTAAATGAAGTAGCATGATTATTTATTTATGCAACTTAATGTCATGCAAATTTACTAACACTCATGCAAATTCATGCAAGTAAAAGATAAAACCCTCCCTAAACTTGGTTGTTCTTTCTTCACGTCCCAGCCTTGAATATGAAGGTGGAGGTTATTCTTTTGGATTGAAAAAGGCTTTCAAAAATATAAACTTGGCTTGAAATTCCCAGATTAAGCTCAAATAATCTTATTGAAGCTTCTTGAATGTAAACAACTTACCTCGATCAAACAGTCTCAGGGAGATTACAGAAAATGATGTAAGGCGCATAGCCGGGATCACATTCCCTTACTCTTTAAGGTGATTCATCCTTGAATCTAAAATATCGATAAAGAACAAACTTCATTGGAAAATAAATAAATATCTTTACCATAGGTAGAATAATTCAATTTGTTCCTCGCCCTTGAGAAAGATTCATCTCCGAATTGCAAACCTCATTGTAGAAATTGTCTTCATTATTAAGCAAAAAAGTTTTCTCCATAGATGGAGAAGTCCTTTTGAATTCCTCGTAGTGGCTTGCCAACTTCTAAAGTCTCATGTGTGATGCACAATTTGGATTGATTGGAATTTGAAAAGTCTCATTTAGTGGAAAATGTTATCTTATTTGACCTCCTTTATCGAATCATTCTTGGTGTCAACGCTTTGCTTTCAAATCATGGGAATATCAAACCATGGAGGATGCTTGATGATCTTCATTGGTGGTTGCTTCTTATTGTCTTTGATGATGAAAACTTCATTGGATCTTCTCTTGAAATATAATCTAGGCATGGTTGATGTTTATATCTCCATGACTGGTGATGAGTTTGAAATGTCCTTTGAAGTGTTCTCACGATTCTGAAAAGAAAACCAAGGCCATGAGGAAAAGAAAGGTTAGTGTAAGACGAAATTTCCTTCTCATCTTTTTTTCGA